GGAGAAAGAGGGGGAATAGAGAGATAGGGAGGGGGAGAAAGAGACATAGAGGGAAGTATGAGACACAGGGGGAGAAAGAGATGGGGAGGGGGAGAAAGAGACAGAGAGGAAGAGAGATGTGGGGGAGAGAGAGACAGGGAAAGGGGGGGAGAAAAACAGTGGAAGAGAGGGAGAAAGAGGCAGAGGGGTAAGAGAGACTGGGAAGGAGGGGGGAGAAAGAAACATACAGAGGGACGGGGGGAGACAAAAAGGCACACAGAAGGGCTGTATATATCACTGGTGGATCCAGGGGGGCAACAGGGCAATTGCCCCCCCTCCCCTGTCCGCAGGCACCGTGCGGGCAGGGAAGGAAGGAAGAGAGGACCTGGGAGCTCACCCTGCAGCTCCTCTGGGTCCTTCTTGCATGAGCACAGAGCGTTGCCGCGATTACCATGGCAACGTTACCACTCTTGTGAGAGTCAACTCTAGCCCTGGAGCTACGGTCTAGTGTTCACTCTCAACACTGTGACCCCCAGGGATTCCTGGTGGTCGCAGTGGTGAGAGTGAACTCTAGCCCCATAAACACACTGCCCCCACACACACACCATACACATTCACACACTGCCCCCATACACACCATACACATTTACACACATTGCCTCACACACAGACCCCCATACACAGCCCCCCATACTAACATTGCCACACACATACACAGCCCACACACCCTATGTGGCAAACCTAGCCACTCGGACTATAACTGGACACTATGCCTTTAAGGGTTGCCTATAGGTCGGAAGAGATATGCATTTTAACCTGTATTTGTCTGCTTAATGTATTCCCTGCATTGCCTGTACCTATCTGTTCCGCCGAATGCAAATGGCGGTTTGTAAGGATTTCGAAAGTTAAGCCACCTAACCGCACTTTGAGGGTCGTCAGTGAAGTTTAACATGATACCCCCTAATAGCCCACACACTTAGAGGCGTGTGACGCTAGTTAACCGATTGCAACATTGTTGCAATCGGTTATTAGAGGCTCTCCTGGGTGGCCGTCGTTCGACTACCGACCATGCGGCGGTCGGCCATCTTGGATCCTTTGTTCCCCAGCGGGGTTATGTCGTCGAGCACCTGGTACTAAAAACGGCTACTCGACGGCATGAGCCCCGCTGAGCCTCCAGGACGTTCGGGAGTTTCGGGACGTTCGGTATTTTGTTCCCTAATAGCAATCGGTTCTTTTTGTATGTTTTATATGAATTGTGTTGTTCGTGCGGCGTTCGGTTATTTTAGCAGGGATCTGAGCGGTAATCTCACGAATGATACCCTCAGACCCCAGCTATCTACCGAACGCCCATTCGTGTAAATCCACTATATATTCACCAAGTTATTGATTTTTATGTGAATTATCGGTTCTGCTGCACGAGGGGATAATCCACTTAACGGTGCATTCTGGGAAGATTATCCCTCTCGTGCAGCGGTGCCTGATGGAAGAAATATGCTGTAATGTAAGTCCCCCATGTAGTCCCCTCCTGTACAACCCCTGTAATGTCAGTAAGGAAACCCCTTGCATGGGGAACTGCATAAATACTGTGACCTGTGATTAAAACCTCAGTTGATTCCCAGCCTATGTGTCGTCTAGTTCTTGGGAAGGAAGGGTTACTGCAGTGCTGTTTGGATTATTGTAGGCTGATTCCCTGGATTATCCTTTGTTGTTCCTGTTACCCAGCGGAGATATCGTGGATTATACTGCCTCTCCACTACACCCTACACATTCACACACTACACCCCCACACACACACTGAACTTTTCACACACATTGCACCACTGCTTCTATTCCCTACTACAGCCCCATATCCCAGCAGATCCCAGGTAAGTTGTCAAACTGTTCTTAAATGGTTTGACTACTTACTCTGGAGCAGTAGTGGTTATTGTGCATGGATTATTTCTTTAAATAATCTACAAGTGCCCCAGTAGCCAGCCAGCCCACAGGCCGGCCAACCCACAGGCTGGCCAGTAGCCAGCCAGTTAGCCAGCCCACAGGCCAGTAGCCAGCCCACAGGCCTACAGCAAGCCACAGGCTTACAGCCAGCAAGCCCACAGCCTGCCAGTCGCAGCCAGCAAGCCACAGCCTGCCAGCCGCAGTCAGCAAGCCCACAGCCTGCCGGCAGTAGCCAGCAAGCCCACAGCCTGCCAGCCGCAGCCCACAGCAAGCCAGCCCCACAGACTGCCAGCCAGCAACAGTAATTAAGGTAAGAGGAGCCAACTTGGCCTAGGTATCAGCGAGCTATGTTGTGTTGCTATATTGTGAATAGGAACCAGAGTGTTGGAGAGACCACCCTCCAGGCCCCATTAGACTCCATTGTAGTCTCTAATGGGGCCTGCAGGAGATTCTTTCTAACACACTCTCTAAAGGACACTGAGATAGCCTCTGCTAGAAATCCCCTCCATGGCCCATTAGCCCTCAATTGTAGTCTCTACTGGGGCCTGGTGGCGACTGTTTCCAGCAGGGGATATCTAATGGATGCTGAGATGGCCTCTGTTAGAAGGACCCCCTTCCAAGCCTATTAGACTCCATTGTAGTCTCTAATGGGGCCTGGAGGGGATTCTTTCTAACACACTCTCTAAAGGACACTGAGATAGCCTCCGCTAGAAAGACCCCCCTCCATGGCCCATTAGCCCTCAATTGTAGTCTCTGCTGGGGCCTCGAAGGGCTTATTGCCCTTTTGTTCCTTGTGTCTAAAGATTGTGTAGGGTGTGGCTGGAGGCGGGATAAGGGTGGCGCTTGCTGCAGAGTATGGGTGGGGCCTGTAAGGGGGCCCTTGATTTATTTTGCCCGGGGGCCCTGAGGGTTCTCAGTCCGCCCCTGCTAAGACATTATGTTCATTACTCAAAAACAAACAAGTATATAAAGTAGTTTCTTTAGCTACTAGTGGATTATTAAAATTAGAAGCTCCCCTAGCTATTACAGCATGTCAAAAGTGGGAAAGGGATTTAAAAATAAACATTAATAGGGAAGAGTGGTGTGCAGTAATGCCCAGAGCATGTAAATTTATTCACTGCTTGAACCTGGTCGAAACTCTATTTAAAGTAATGAACAGGTGGTATCTCGTACCAGCCAGAGTGGCTAGAATGTTTAACTCAAGTTCGTCAATATGTTGGAGATGCAATAGGAGGCTTGGCTCGTTTGTTCATAATTGGAGTGTGATATAGTGATGGAATTGTGGACTAAGACTTTCAAGATATTAGGGAATTTAATAAATAAGCCTATTCTTAGGTCCACAGAGAATGCTATTTTGAACTTGAATATTAAAACATTACAACATAAGGAAGCATATGTATTCATTAATTTTATGGTAGCAGTTAAGATAAATATTGCACGCAACTGGAAAATTGCCACACCCTTTTCTTTAGATAAGGTGCTATCCCAAGTTAATTTTCAACTAAAGATGGAAGCACAACTATATAAGTCACAAGGAACTTAGTGAGTTTTAAATAGATAAAATGAAAATATGGTAGGTAGGCAGAACCTGAGTTCAAAAAGTATATAGTGTACGTATGAATATATAGACAAGAGCATTTGTCTATACCATGGTGGATACATCTGGGTTGATAGACACCTTTTTTTTGTTCTTAGACCGATAAGTAAATATAGCTGCGTACATGTATACATGCACTATTTAGTCTGTATTATACATTCCATTTAAGAGATAGAGATCCCCCAAACTACTTCCTGTCGGTGTGTAACTGTTTTTATTGTAATATGTAAGTCTGATAGAAGATACTGGCGTAAGCTTTAAATATGTTTCTAAGAAATATAAAGTAACATGAAAGAGAGAAAAGTATATTAGAAGGCTGTTTAAAAGTACTCATAAGGCTTGAGTAATATAAACCCAGAAGGAACAGTCACAAATGAGATATTATGTAAACCATGATTATAGTATGCTCTTCTATGTATGTGTATGTTCATTTGTTTGTACATGTAAATGAAACTAATAAGAAAACAAAAAAAAATATTTATAATAAAAAAAAATACAAATGCCCAGCCAGAGTATGCCCAGCCAATGTTGTGAGCTATCTTCAGCAGCTCATGCCGATATTTCTTGGGTGCCACCTTGGTGGTTGTGGAAACTGTACCCGACTTCTTTTTCTCCGCTATGCGGTATAACAGTCCCTGCTCCCAGATGAACTGCTCTTCCTACTTTCCCACCTCCCCAGTGGCCGCTGGTCCCTATGGGTCAGGAGGATCGTGTCAGATATTACCTCCCACCCAAACTCAGCAGGGGTATCCGAGGGGACAGGTGTCGGGGCAGGGGTAGCTTCCCGGGGCACGGTGTGCATGGGACAGTTACTAGGCCTGGGGTTAGGGGGACTAACATGGGGTGCTTGCAACAGGGGGGCATCTAAGGGAAACTGGGGGACAGAGCTGCGCATGTGTGCCTACCTGAGCCTTAGAGTGTGAGCCGTCCTGGATGGTGCGAGCTTGCTGCTGTGACATCACAGGGTAGCTCTCTGCAACGTTCTTTAGGGGCACATGGGTGGAGGTGAGATGGCCTAGATCGTTGCCAAGCAGCACTTCTGCAGGTAGTGCATCCATGAGCCCTATTTCCACCTCTCGGTCTCCAGTACCCCAATCGAGGTGGACATGAGCTATGGGTAGGTGGCAGATGTGGCCCCCGGCCACTTGGATTGCAACTGTTCCTCCATTATTCTCTGCCTCAGCAACAAGCCTACTTTGTACTAGGGTCAGGGTGGCCCGGTGTCTTGTAGGCCCTGGATGGTGCACCCATTCAGCTGGACTGGTTGCCTATGGTCGGCTCGGTTGTCCGTGGCGGCTGGGAGGGGGTCGACTTCATACAGGATGGAGCAGTCGTCCTCTCCGGGGTGTAAGTAGTCTGTGGGGGCAGCCTGGTAGCAGTGGGCTGCCACTCTTGGAGGTTGGGCGACTACAGGGAGAACCCACAGGCATTGGCATTGGGGGCATTCTCTTTGGTAGTGGCCAGGTTGCCTGCAATGATGGCATGCGGAGCCTGGCTGCACTGTTCCCTTCAGGTTGGCCCCAAGGCCGGTGGGTTCCTGGCTGTTGGGTAGGTTTGGACTGCAGGGCACAGGGGAAGTCTGTAGGGGGCAGGTGCAGCTGGGCGTTGGGGCTGCCGGGCATCGGTTTACTCATCAGCCCGCTGGGCTGCCTCGGTGAGCGTTTTGGGCTGTCTGTCACCCATTCCTGCACTTCGGTGGGGAGCCCATTATAGAAATGTTCTAACATGAAGAGCTGTAGGATCTCTTCAGGGGACTTGGCCTGTTGAGAGTTTATCCAGTTCTGGGTTGCTCTGGTAATGCGACATGCCCACTCTGCATGGGAGTCCTTCTCTCCTTTTTTGATCTTTCTGAACTTACAGCGGTATGCCTCTGGGGTGACGGCATATCTGGCCAGTAGGACCATATTGACAAAGGGGTACTCCAGAAGCTGGTCCTTGGGTACAGCTGGGTAGGCTTCCGTTGCCTTCCATGTTAACTCACTGGCCAAGATGGTGATCCAGTCAGTAATGTAGACTGCTTGGGAGGCACTGGTGCTCAAAACCCTGCAGGAAGTCATCAGTGCCTTCCTCTGCTTCCTTGAACTCCTTAAAGGCATTGTATGGTAGTTTGTTTGGCTCCCCAGTGACCTCTCCTCTGCCCTTCGTTCATCTGGGTGTGTGGGGGTCGCCCCATTCTTCTTGGCAAGGACATATGTTTGG